TTTTTTTTTTTTTTTTTTGGAAATGTGTTTGGGGACGGCGGCCGGACGGTCCAAGGCCTGGCCGCCCCGACCCCCGTCCCACGCCGCGGCTCTGCCTCGGGCAGCCCCACCCGCACCGCTCCCACCCGCGGCCGGGCCCCGCCGTGGGAAGCAGGACCGGGGGTGCGCGCGTGTGTGTGTGTGTGCGTGTGTGTCCCACACCCCACACCCCCCCCCCCAAACCCCGGGCGGGGGGGGGGCCCCGACGAGCGGCGGCTCCAGGACCGGTGCGCACCGGGAGGGCGGCGAGCGTGGCGGGTGGATGAGCTCCGGCTTGGTAAGTCTGATTTTGTTAATAAATGACTCTTGGTTATATTCACCCTGTGGTGTCTTCTCTCGTCCCGTGTGTCCCGTTTCCCCCACCCCCCACGCGGGACCGGGGGGCTCCGTGGCGGGGCCGCGGGCTCCTGGCGCCATCTAGCGGCGGCGGCGGGTCCCAGCCCCGGAGCCCCCGAGCGCGGCCCCGCCGCCCCCCCCGCATCGCTGCGCGCCCCCGAGGGGGGGGGGGGGGTCCCGAGGGGGTTTGGTGGGGGGGGGGGGAAAAGGGGCTCCCGGTGCCTCCTCGCTTCCTCGCGTGTGTGTTTCCGTGGGAGGGAAGCGCCGGCTTTTCTCGCGCGTGGCGGCGGAGGGAAGGTTCGAGAAGGCGTTTGAGTTGAAATCCTTGCAAAAAGCCGCCCCCCCCCCCCCCCCCCTGCCGCGGTGTTTGTGCGTGTCGTCCCCCCCCCCCGAGGCGCTGCGATCCCTCGCAGGAATTCAGTTTTAGGGGTGGAATTGAAATAGAAAGGGGGTGCGGGACCCGCGCCCGCGTTGGGGGGGTGGGGGGGGGCGGGGGGGGGGGGGGGGGGGCGGCTGAGTGCTGGCGCGGAGTCTTGTCCGTGTGTCCGTCCGTCCCCCGTATAATCTTTTTGCTGTCTGTGCGAGGACCGTGGCGGGGGGGGGGGGATAAATGGCTCTGAAATGGGGGTCGGGAGCTGCCCGGCCGTGTCTCCGCCGCTGCGCACCCCAACTGCGGCCGGGGGGGCCGTGCTGCCCCTCACCCCATGACCCGAGGAAGGGGCTTTTACTCCAGCAGCGGGGACCCCCCGGCTGTGCCCCCGCACCCCCTCCAAATCCCTCGTGTTCCTACTGCCCCACATCACTTTTTTTTTTTTTTTTTTTTTTCCCCCCCTGCTGTTGAGTGCTTTACTCGTGTTGCATTTTGGGTGAGTCATGCAATTAATCCCAGTTAATTGCCTTCTCTATATTGCCTTATGCCCTGTGTTTAAATTCCTTTGTGTCCTTTGAGCTGAAAAATAACGCGCTTAAAACACGGACTTGTTTTGCCAGTGGGATTTTTATTTTTCTGCCCGCTCCTGCGCGCGCGGCCGTGGGCGTGCGGCCGGTGGGGGGGGCCCTGGCCAGGGTCTCCTGCTGGAAATGGGAGAAGCTGGTGGTGCTGGGGGCTGGCGGAGGGGTGGGCAGCGCCGTCCCCCGAGCTCCCCAAGGCTGGGGGGAGGCAGGTTTTGGTGGGTCCGTGGCAACCCCTTGCCGTGCTGTGGAGGCGGCTCGGGTCTGGCTCTGCCCGCGGTGGTCCCGCTCCCTTCAGGTGTGTGCAGGATGAGGGCCTGGGGTTTGCAGAACCGGGTTCAGAGCAGAGGGGGCTTCGCTGCAGCTGTTTGCAGGAAAGGGGGTGCCAGGCCCGGGTTTCTGCTGGGTCCCCGGGTCCCAGCTGGGTGCTGAACCCTTTGGCTCCGGGTGCGGCCGTTCCCCCCTGGCGCGGAGCTCCGCGGTGGGACGTGAAGGCGAGCCGGGCCCCCCGGCCCCTCGGGAGCATCTCTGCTCCCTGGATGTGACCCCCACTCCCACTGGTGATGCTGCTCGGTGTCGGCCTCGCTCGGGTTCTCCCGCTCCCCGGCGTGTAAATCACATCTCCCCGGGCCTCGGGGCTGCCGGGGCCGTGGCGTGTGCCGGCCGGCGAGTAGCTGCCACGGAGCAGCCCGGGCAGGGGGCGAGGGGCTTGCACAGCCGCCGGCCGGCTGGAGCCCCTCTCCCAGGGCCCGACAAGCTGCAGGGCGCAAAGATCCCTCTCCCCTTCCCCCCCCCGAACCCTTCCATCCAAGCCAGGGTGCTCCCAGCTCCCAAACTGAGCCCAAGCGCCTTCCCCCCCACCGGCGGTGGAGGCTGCTCAGATACGTCCCGCCGTGCGGAAGCTTCCCCGAGGAATATTTTTTTTCCCTCCCTAAAGACTGCAGCACCGGGGCCAGACTGTGTAGACGCTGCAAAGTATCATCTGATAGCAGTCGGCACTCGGGGGCTTTATCTGCTAGGGAATGATTGTGTTGCCAATATATTAAATAACTCCCTATGTAATGTATGCCCAGGTTATTGCAGAATTCATTTTATAATAAGAGCACTGGGATGCACTTTATTAATCATTCTGTCTAACAACCTGCACTCCACAGTTTCGGTTTGATTTGATTCAATCCTGTCTTTCTACAAAATATATGGCTGAGTGGGTCAGATAATGTATGGCTTAATTTAGAGTTGTATGGGTTTGAATTACCATTTTCATAATGTGCTGTGCATTAATGTGTTGCATCATTTATACAGAAAAATGTGCGAGGTTTCAAGCCTCTCCGGGAGGCAAAAGTCACCTAAAGGGAACGGCGGAGCGACAAAAAAAAAAAAAAAAAAAAAAAAAAAAAAAAAAAAAGGCCCTTTCAAACCCAGCAGGCGGGGGGTGGTTTGGGCCGGGGGGGGGCTGGGGTAACACAGGTGGGTGTCGGGCGCGGGGCCGGCGCGTTTGAGGCTGCACAGCAGCAGCTTCTCCCGCTCGCCCCGAGCTGCCGGGGACCTCCAGCGCTTGACTCGGCCGTGACCCCGGTGCCGGCGCTCGCCACAATCGCGCCCGCCGTCAGTCACCCCGCGCCACGAGGAAAAAGCTCTGATTATCCAAATACAGTCATTAAAGGGGAAATGTGTTTTTAGGACTGTCAGAGTGATTAATGAGGGTTAGCAATCCTTGCAAATGCACTTGTTTAGTCTAACTGGCAGCCTCTATTTTCCTATTGATTTATTGCGGCAGTTGCCGGGGCTGCGGTGTGTGTGGAGGGAGCCGGGACCGGGCGCTATTTCAGCGGCGGGCGCGCAGGGCTGCGCGGCCGGGGGGCCCGAGCGGCACGGCACGCTTTGCTGGGCCCGGCCCTCGGAGGCAGCCGAACAAAGGCAACATTATACCTTGTGCTGGGGAAGGAATGACTTGGATGCACATGCAGAACAGCTCCGCCGTGCTGCGTGCCGTATAAATGTCCCCGTTTGTAAAGCCCGAAGCCCATCTGACCACAAATGATCTGTCCACCTAATAAATATGTGAACGAAAGAGCGAGGCCGTGTTTTTTTGTTGTTGTTTTCCTTCCTCTCCTGCACGCAAATCCCCGATGTCTTTTAGGTGATGCAGAGGTGTCTGCCCGCAGACGTACAAGGCGTTTCAGAGACCAGACCGGAGCACAGAGTCTTCGAGAGCCGGTGCGACCCACCCAGCGGAGGTCAGCTCAGGCTGCAGAGGCAAGGGCCGGAGCAGAAGCGATGGTGGGTGGATGAGAAGTCTCCCAGCTGCATAAAGCAGCTTTTCTTTCTGCGTGAGCCCTGGTGGAAACCCTGGAGAACATGGGCTCTGTGTTTGTCCTCGCAGCCCGAGCGGCGTGGACATCTCCCGTCCCCTCCGCCAGCATCCCCGCGCCCAGCCCGGAGGTCAGGGGTTTGCTTTGGGGGATGCTTCATGCTGCGTGTGCTCGGAGCGGACCCGGAGGGACAGACCTGGAGGGACAGACCTGGAGAGACAGACCCGGAGAGACAGACCCGGAGGGTCAGACCCGGAGGGACAGACCCAGAGGGTCAGACCTGGAGGGTCAGACCCAGAGGGACAGACCCGGAGGGACAGACCCGTGCTCGGAGACAGCCCCTGCAGCCAACGCCACCGCCGGCACAGCTCCTGCTGCCCGGGGCAGCGGTGACGTGGAGCGCACGGAGCAGAACTGGGGGTACTGGGGTGCAAAGCTGCACCCCTGGTCTGCAGCCGTGAGCGTGGCCCCGTGCCGGAGCCCAGCGCTGCCCCAGGCTGTGGTTTGCCTCCAGCCAGCGTGAGCGGCGGCGCAGCACAAATGATGAGAGGCCTTGGAGGAGGCGAGTGGAGAAGGACAAAGACCTCGAGGTGCTCAGGGAGCCCCCCCCAAGCCGGAAGAGCGTGGGCAAGTGCCCGGGGCACCGCGGCAACCAGGAACGCTGCGGGTGGGAGAGGGATTTCCTCTGGCTGTGAACGACGGCTGTAGAGCCGCTGCCGTCGCTTCCCCGGCCATAAATCGGTGCGTGGTGCGAATCCTCCCGGCGGCACCGGCAGCAGCTTGCACCAGCCATGCACCGACATCCCCACTGTACCAGGACGCCCGGTTTTGGCTGGTCACCGGTTACCCCATGGGAAGTCCCCAGCGTGGTGACCCATGGCCCCGGCTCCCCACTTCTCCTGCAGTGTCTGATCCTGGGTGCCAGAGCTGCCCGACCCACGCCGGCTCAGCGTGGCAATCCGGCAAAACACCCCGGCCCTGGGGCTGAGCCCAAACCTGCGCCCGTTCCCCGCGGAGCGCAGCCCCGCTCGCGCAGACTTACACCGGTGCGCGTGTAAGTGATACTGTTCATTACTGTGATGCATGGTTAATAGTTATCTCTCTGTTTATTATCGTGATGAATAACTGAAGAGTCGTAATTCTGTATATACAAATGCTTCAGCTAAACGCTCGCCGGAGAACGCTGGGGGAGACGCTCGGCTGACAGCTCAGCTCGGTTTACAGAGTATATTCCTGTAGCTCAATTCACAATAACAAACAGATTTCCACAGGCCATAATGTTTTCTAACACGGTGCTTATGGAAACCTCCCGGAGCAGCTTTACCGTGACTTCACCCCACGTTCCAGCGTGGTGCTCGAGGCGGGCCGGGGGGGCTGTGACCTGTGCGGGGAGGGGCCTTTGCAAGAAGAGCCGGCGGGACACGGCGGCAGAGCCCACCCCGGCGGGTTGGGCAGAGCTGGGTGGCACGCTCACCCCGCCGCAGGGTGCGACGCGACCTCCGCCAGCACCGCCTGGTCCCCAGCACCCGGGATCGTCCCTCCCGGCCCGGCAAAACCCGGAGGCAGCAGGAGGACACGCGGCATGCCGGGCATCTGGCAGCTTTGGGGGGCTTCATAACAGCCAGCCGGCAGGCACCCCACCAGAGCAGAGAACTGAAATGGGGTTTTTTTTTTGTCCCCCTCGTCTGCAAGAGGGCAGCTCCCCGGCGGCATGCCAGTGCCCACCACAGCGGCTCCTGCATCTCCACTGGCCACCAGTGCCTCATTGGGAGAGGGACGTGCTGCTGCTCTGAAGGAAAAGGGACTGGTGGGAGCCTGGGGGGACTGGTGCCACCTCCTGCAGAAGGGGTGGCGGGGCTCTGAGAGCGAAGGACAGAGGAAAGGGGGGACTGAAGCGTTTAAAAGATGTGCTGGATCTTTCTTGCTGAGCCCTCACCGCCTTCTCTGTGCTCCTCTCCTGCTGAGGAGGGAGGAGAAAGGAGACTGAAGCACCCAAAAGATTTGCTGCGTTTCTCTCCTGGCTCGTTTGCTCACTACCGCCCAGACCCGGCTGACGCCACGCTCCTCTCCCACTTTCCACCCTAGCCGGGCGGGGAGCCGGGAGCGATCAACCCTTTCACCGTCCCCGTTTGGGACCAGCGGCCACCAAGGATGGGATGCCCATTGCCCCCTCGACAGCAAAGCTGGCGGTGAGGCCGGGAGCCCCGCTCCACCGGGCAGAGCTCCTGCAGTAGTGACTCATTTTTTCTGCCACAGCAACGGTTACCTTCGCGGGGTTTCGTTCCACTTCCCTGCACAGGCTCAGTGACATCCGTGGGGCTGGAGCGGGACAGCGGCCAGGTCCTCCCTCTCCAAGGTGGGAAGAGCCACGTTCTGTGGAAAATGTCTCTGACATGAAGCAAAGTGTGAGCAGGGAGCCGCTGATTTGTCACAGGCGTGGAGCAACCCGAGGTTTGCAAGAAAATTATTGCTCAACCTGGCCCAGATAACAGCCCCTTGCGTGGCAGGGCTGGGAAGGGGAATTTGCCACCCCAGCTGCTGGAAAACGGAGCCAAAAAGCCCTTTGTTCCTTCTGGGGTTTCTGCACATGTCTCAGGCTCTGGTTGAATTTTTTGTTAGGGACAACTGCTTGGAAAGGGCTCGCTGGGTGCACGCCTCACCCGCTCCCCCAGCTGCAGAGATCTACTCTGCCCCCATTGCTGCGTTGATCATTCCTGAACTTTTCCGACTTGTGTGCCCCGGCGGGGGAATCCTGCACCGGCGGACCCCCGCGCCCGCAGCCCCTCCGCTAGCTCCGGGCCGTGGCTGGCTGATGAACCTTCCTGGCTTTTCCTGGGGTGAAAATCCAGGCGAAGCCCTGGCGCAGGCTCCAGGAGTGCCAGCCCCAGCAGCTGGGTCACTGGCTGGTGCATCCCGGTGTGAAGCAGAGCCCGCAGCCCTCCGTGGAGGGAGCTCTCGCAGAGTTGGGGGTCTGTCGTGCCATTTTGGGGGTCTGGCTCATGCTGCTCGAGCACTGGGGGTTTGCATACAGCACCCGGCGTGCTCCGGATGCGTTTGGGGGGAGATGGAGGCTGGGGCAGAGCTGGCACAGGGCTGGTGGCTCTGGGGGCTTGGCAGGGGGTGCTCCGTGCGGGCCAGGGCACGGGGAGAGCTCAGCCCTGAGCCGCAGCACAGCCAGAGAGCGGGCAACGGGCACAGGAGCTCCTCTGGCCCCCGGCCTTTTGTTGCGCCAGGTCGCACCCCGCTTTGCACGGCTCGCACCCCGGCACGGCGCAGCGACGGGCTTTTGGGGAGAGGGGCCCATTTTCTCCGTGGGGTGAGCGGAGCGGGGTACCAGGGATGCTGCCGGCATCCCGCCGCCGCCCTGGGGTGCCCCTGCTCATCCCTCTCCCCCGTGCCCTTCTCTCCGCCGCCGTGAACGGCCCTTTTATCTCTTGGGTAGGTACAAATGGAGCTGTCAGATGCGATCAGCCCCACGATATGACAGGTTGCGGGAGCCGGGGCCCCTCGAACAGAGCAGCCTTGTCTGTCAGAGCCGCCTGACACTCCCCATAATGGCCAGATGGATGAGACTCTGAAAGTAGGGCCCGGCGCGTTTTCAACTCTATTTTGGGTGAAAACACTTCTTGAAAGATCTTGAAAGGAGCTGGCAGTTTAGTAGTTCAAATGATTAATGAGCACTGGCTCTGCCGGGTGGATTTCTCGCGCCGTGCCAGCAGCTGGGCTGCTCCAGCGGGCCAAGACACGCTGCACTCCCCCCGGCTCCCCCCGCGCCCCCCGGCTCCCCCCGAGCCCCCCTGGTTTTCCCGGAAATGACACCAACGCGACAGGCCCCGCATATGGAAAAAGTTAAATATAAATTACTGCTGAAAGAGGCCTCGCTGAGCGGAGTTAGTTAAAGATGTTTATGGATTCAGAAACACGGGCCTGCATATGTATTTAGGGATGACAAATGTGATTCAATAAGTAAGGAATTTCTCCGTGGGCTGAGGCGGGACCCGCGCGGCGCGGGCGCTGCTTTGGGCTCTCCGGCTCGGCCGCGCCAGCGCCATAAATCCTGCAGACAGGCTCCTTTTTCCTTCCCGGGCAGCTCGGGGTTTATTTTCAGGGGTTTTTTTTTGTTGTTGTTTTTTTTTTTTTTCTTTTTTTTTCCCCAGATCAGACCGAGTCGCTGCATCTCCTGCACTTGGGACGTGACAGCACTGCTCCGTGCCTGGACCCTCCGCGCGCATCCCCCCGGGGCGGCTCCGGGGGGCTTGGGAAAAGGCGATGGATGTTCCGTGCGGGTCGCTGGGGACTGCGCCGTCCACGCCACCACCCGTGCCAGGCACGTCCCTGTCCCCAGGCTCTCCCGTCCCCCCCCCGGAGAGCCGTGCTCAGCGGAGCAGCCGGACCCTTCAGGACTGTCAGCGGATGATTAATGGCCAACAACTCCGAAACTGCCCCCCATGGCCAGTTTGGGTTTTGTTTGACCCGGTGCTTAATGAGTTCAGACACACTCCTGCGAGCCGCTTCACGTGGGCAGCTGGGCAGTCTCATGGAGCCCGGTGGGGTGGGGGGTACACGCATGTCCCCCACCCAAACCGCCCTGTGCTCCTGCCGCGTCTCGCTTGGGGCGCGCAACATCGGGGATCGCACCGAGCTAATGTGAGACACCCCGAAACTGAACTCCAGCTGCCGGGGCGCGGGCCGGGCAGGGATGCTGGGTTTGGGGTGAGAGACCCCAGCGAACCTGCAGCGATGGGCAGCGCAGGAGCCGGCCCCTTGGCTCCCCCCGATCCTGCTGCCTCCGCGGGACTCACGGGGAAGCGCCATTTCGGGGGGTCAGCGCCCGGCCGGGCTTTTGACCGACAGCCACATTCCTTTGTCCTGATTTTATTCGTTAGCAGCGTTTGGCCTGGACACAGAGACAGCTAATGAGGGACTGAGTTTATTGCAGTTTGATTTTTCTGTTAAAACAATACAATAAAATAAATGCACTTGGAAATCTGGTATGTGTTTGTACATAGTAGATTTATGGCTCTGGAGGCTTCCAGAGAGACGCAGCCTTTCATTCCCTTCCTTATTGGAACAGATCATATTGCAGAGTTTAAAGGGCTCTGGAGTTGTGATTTATTTGAAGGGAGAAACTAGGGAAATCCAACTATCTGTTCCCTGGCTCAGATCATCCAGTAACTCTATGGCCAAGGGGATGGATCTGCACCTCCTCCACAGATTTTTCATTTTTTTTCCTCCTGTCGCTTACATTATCCCGCTCTAAATATATCACCGAGACAGGGCTGACTCCTGACCTGGGCTTCAGCACCTCGCCGAGGCTTCCCCAGCCCTTCCCGGAATCCCACAAATAAATCACCCTCCTGGAGCCCTCTCCCAGCTCCTCCGCACCGCTCACGGGACAGGACCTGCGCGGGGCCGGCCGCTGCCTTCAGCCAGAGCAGAGATCAAGACAGAGATCTTACTTTTATCTCTGGGATCGGGTGACAAATCCATGCCACCGGTCCCTGCTTCCTTTCGAGGGAACCCTTTCCCCTCCCTCGCTGCTCTCCTGGCATTTGCACAGCCCCCGGGCAGAGGAGAGCACGGCGGCTTGGATGCAGGTCAGGATTTGTGCCTGAAAACCTTTTTCATGCATTTTTTTTAAGCCGCTGACCCCTGCCTTGTCCCTGCGGCTCAGCTGGACCCGCCGATGGGGGGATGACGCTGCAGCTCCTGCATCCGAGCGGGACCGTGCTCCGGGCCGGGGCTGCCGCGGCCGCTTCCCTCCCGCCCTCGCAGAGGAGAAGCGGCTTTCGCCCCTCTCTGAGGTTTCCTGCACCCCAGGGATGAAGCACCTCGACGGCTGCGGTGGGGACAACCGGCGCATCACCGCGACGGCTTGACACTCGGAACTGCCGCGGTGCACCCCAGCGCCATCCCAGTGGTTCCCATCGGCAGGAACAGGGTGAGACTGTGCCCCCCAGCCCAAAAGCAGGCTTTTTTCTAAAGCATTTGGCATCTGCAGGCAGGAGCTCTCTGAGTTTTTGTGCAAAACCCCTCCTGCTTTTCCCCGGTCCTGGGTACCTCTGGGACGTTTGGGAATGACCAGTTTGGGTCCCGCCAGCAACATTCATCCCTCCCTGTGCCGTGTCGGGAGGCCCACGGGAGGAGATTTCCCTTCGCCGCCGCCGTGATCTTGGCTGTGGGGCAGACGAAGAAAGGGAAGGAGGTTTCCAGCCCGGGCGGGCACCGGCTCTGGCAGCCACTCCATCTCAGCTTCTCCAGCCCATGTTTTTCACAGGGTGTTTTCTCCCCCTGCGCACAGACGGGCTCTGTTTGCCATTAGCTTCCCCTCCTCTGCCCTAGGAGCTGATCCGAGTGCTAATTCTCACGCATGTTTCGGGTAAATCTACTTTCTTTCCCGGGATGAATTGTGGTTTCCAAGCACCATTAATCATTTCCCTTTAGAAAACAGCGTCGGGGGGGCTGGAAACATTGCTCCTTTATTTACTGGGAAGATGACCTGGCACGCTGGCGCCTGGCCACGGGGCTGGCGTCTGCGGGACGATGTGGAGCATGGAGAGAAGCCTCATGGTGAGCTCCCCTCCGCTGTGCTGGGACGGCGCCATCGGCTCCCACCGGGACCATCCCCACCAAGGACAAACCCCCCCAGCCCCGAGGTTGGGGGTGAGCAAGAGCCCGTGGAGCAAGAGGATGGAGGATGGAGAGGAAACCGCTGCCGAAATGCCACGTTTTAACCTTTTCCCAAGAGCGTCTTCCCAGAGGGGTTGTTTCCCCGGGAGCTTGTTTGCACCGTGAGATGTGTCGTGGCGACGGCAGAAATGCCAACCCTGTTCTCTGCCTGCCCCAAGTGCCCCTCGAAATGCCTGGGACATGAAATCGGGACCTTCCGCTTATCGCCCACCGGCGGGGCTCGGGTGGGCAGCGAGTCAAAGGAAACTTCTCCTGCCCCGATTGCAGCGAGGGTAAAGAGGTGCAGCGAGCACATGTGAACGGTTTCCTCATTTCCAGCTCCGGACTGTCAGAGGATGATTAATGGCCAACGCCGCAGAACTGCCTTGATTGCCAAGTGCTGTATTGTTAGCACTGACATGTAACGAGCCCGGACATACTTTAACACAATTCTGTACCGTAATCTGCAAATAATGTTCGATAGACTTAATTTGTTAAGTATTTCCCCCCGCACAGCCCCTCTCCCCACCTTCCTTCCCTTTCAGAGCCGTGTCAGAGTGGCCAGGGGCCCAGCCGAGCCCCCTGCAGCCCCCCAGCCCCGCCGCAGCACCGGCAGCCCCAGCTCTTGCCAGGGATTTCCCTTGCCAGGCTCGGCTGCTCCTTTAAGTTTTGGCCAGGGAGCAGCTTTCGCTCTTCTCCCCAGCCAAACAAAAGATTCACTTTTTCTGCGCTTTCAACCCTGCGCAAGTTCAGTCCCCCACTGCTGCTGTGGTCCAGTAAGAGCTGCAATAGTTACTGGCAATTTTGGGGTTCCACCGGATGACTTCGGGGCTCCCCAGGCCAATAAACAGGTCACCACGCCAGCCAGACCCAGGGGAGGGGGCCCCTGCACCCGGAGCAGCTCCCAGGTAGCAGCCCCGGCGGAGCCGCTGTGAGTCACAGCAGCACCGAGTGCGCGTGGAGCTTGTTTCACCCTCGAGGCACTTTGCAAACATCGTATTAAATAGTTACGAGGCATCGCGGTCAGTGAAGCACTGGGTTTGCCTTTTAGAGCAGCTTCCCCCAGGAGAGGCAGGGCAGCTGAACTGGGCCGTGCTGGAGGGTGCTGGATGGGGACAGGGATCCGAACGAGGATGGGATTGGGGGGAAGATGGGATGAGGATGGGGATGGAGATCAGGATGGGGATGGAGATGGGAAGGGATTGGGATGGAAATGGGGAGGGGATGGGATGGGGATGGGGATGGGGATGGGGTTGGGATGGGAATGGGGATGGGATGGAGATGGGAATGGGGATGGGTTGGGGATGGGAAGGGATTGGGATGGGATGGGGATGGGGATGGGATGGGGATGGGGATGGGGATGGGGATGGGGATGGGGATGGGGATGGGATGGGATGGGAATGGGGAGGGGATGGGATGGGGATGGGATGGGAATGGGGAGGGGATGGGATGGGGATGGTAATGGGGATCGGAATGGGGATGGGGATCGGAATGGAGATGGGAAGGGATTGGGATGGGAATGGGGCGGAGATGGGATGGGGATGGGGATGGGATGGGAATGGGGAGGGGATGGGGATGGGGATGGGGATGGGGATGGGATGGGAATGGGGAGGGGATGGGGATGGGGATGGGGATGGGGATGGGGATGGGGATGGGGATGGGGATGGGGATGGGATGGGAATGGGGAGGGGATGGGATGGGGATGGTAATGGGGATGGGATGGGAATGGGGATGGGGATCGGAATGGAGATGGGAAGGGATTGGGATGGGAATGAGGAGGAAATAGGATGGTGATGGGATAGAGACCTGAACAGGGATGGGGATGGAACTGGTGAGCTAGAGCTTTCCCCCCCACCGCTCCGGCTGCGCACGGAGGTAACCTTAAACGCCAAAGCAGGAACCACGGGGACAGAGTTTTTCCACCCCTATTCACAACTGTCAGGCGGTGATTAATGGCCAACAGGCTCGAAATTGCCTTTATTGCCAGCCCGGCATTGTTACTTGTGACAGCTAATGAGGTTAGACAGACTTTTACACAGCCCTTTACCCGGCTCCCGGCGGAGCAGCCCTGGGGGTTCGGTGCCCCGGGCGGGGGGACCCTCCCTGCCCCCCAGCAGTGGCCAAGCCTGGGCACGTCCCGGGGGGGCTGTCCCCCCACCAGCCCCGGGTCCGTCCCCGCGGGGCCAGGGGGAGGCAGCGGGCAGCCCGGGACCGTGGCGCTAACGAGAGCGCCCAGAGACCTTCAAACTTGTCTCAATTAAGTTTGCAGTAAAACCTGCGAGATATTTTTATACGGGCTCCACTGCAGCAAGGCGGGGAGGAACGGGGCAGGGATGAAAAAGTTTTCAAGTGCCGGGGAGAAGTGGGTGTAATAAACCATTTGTTCATATAAAAAAGCCTGTGCTGTTAAAAACCAGAGAGCCACGGCACAGACACCACCGAATGTTCCTGGCCCCAGGTCAAGAAGTAATGATTTTTTTGGCTTTTTTTTTTTTCTTCTTCTTTTTTCGGGATTATTACAAATAATATTTACCTTTGTGCTAGTTCACATCTTGATGCTGTTAAACACGTGGCCGCAGCTGGTTTCCCATTCAGGGTAATGATATAGCGCCGATGTTATGAAGTAAAACCTCGCCTGCAAGCCAGAACACCCCACATTTAAAAATCTATTACTTTTCAATATTATATGAATGTATTTTGCTTCAGCTCAGAGCAATTTCCTAGTTTACCCTTATTAAACTGAGAGGGGGCTGAGCAGAGGTGCTTGATTTATGAAACACATACTAGATTCATTAAAACCTTTAAAGATTTAATACATTTTATCAAGGCCCTAAATCTGGGCGTTTAAAAAAAAAAAAAAAAAAAAACAACTAATACAGGGTGTATTTCATCTCTGGCACCCTTTTGCGCTTATTTAAGAGCTGTAAAATTTGGATTGACAAATATCACGGATATTTCATTCCTTATTTCTAAATGCCGCTGACTTCTCCTGACAGGTTTGTTATATATAACCCTCAGAGATCTATCAAGTGTAAAGATCAAATTATTCTCCTTTATTGACATTTTATACGTCTCTCACACGTTTTTTAAGTCCCGTTCAACAATTACAGAGGTGGAAGATTTAATATGTTTTCTCCCGGCCTCTCACTTTTCCCGTTATTGCCCCAAACCAGCCCGCGCGGGCAGCGGGGGGCTCCAGGGTGGCGGGGGGCTGTGGGACATGGGGCGGGGGGCCCGTGGGAGGCCCGCGACCTTCGGCGGGTGCCTCGGGGCCGGGAGGGGCCCCCCGCCACGCCGCCTTCCTGCTCTTCCCCCTCCTGCTCGGAGCGGGGGTGCGCAGCCCCCCGCCCCCCAAAAAACCCCCCGCGGGGCGAGCGCCGCCGGCGCGGGCGGGTCTCGAACCCGCGGTCCCGAGGCTCCCGTGCTTCCAGCGCCCCCTGGCGGCGCGGCGGCGCGGCGACAGGAGCGGTCGCGCTGTGATGACGTCAGGGCGGCGCCGGGCCGGCCCGGTGAAGAAGGCGCCGCCGCCGCTGAGCGCCGGGCATGGCCCAGCTGGGCGCCATCGCGGCGCTCTCCCTCAGCTTCCTCGCCGCCGCTTTCCTCTCGGCCATTCACAAGATCGAGGAGGGGCACATCGGCGTCTATTACCGGTGAGGCGGGCCCCGCGGCCTCCCCCCCGCCCCGCCCCGCCCGGGCGCGCCCTGAGTAGGCCGCTGCTCACGGCCCTTCTCTTTCCTCCCGCAGCGGCGGGGCGTTGCTGACTTCCACCAGCGGGCCCGGCTTCCACCTCATGCTGCCCTTCATCACGTCCTACAAGTCAGTGCAGGTGCTGCTGGGCCGCGGCCCGCCCGCCGGGAACGGGGCCCTGCCGCGGGGGTGGGCCGGGGGCGCGGGCCGGCGGGTTGAGGATCGTCGAGGTAAAGGCCGGGTCGCGACAGCGTGTGGTTGATCCCGGTACCGGGGGAGAAGCGGCTGTCGGGACCGTCCTGCTGAGCTTCGCGCGGGGGAGGCAGGTCCTGCTCCTGTGTTAGGCGGTTTCCCCGAAGGGCGCGAGGGGGAGATGCGGGAAGAAGCCTGTGGCTGTTTCATGGGCTTATAAGCAAGTAGGATTTGTGCAGGGGAAATCCTGCCTCTTAAGCTTCTTTTCTTAAATCTCTCTTCAGACCACGCTGCAGACAGATGAGGTGAAAAATGTTCCTTGTGGTACCAGGTGAGGTGTTCAGCTGTTACCCACTGCAGTCCTTCATTTTTGTAGAAACCCTTGGGTCTGTTCCCTTTTTTCCCCACTGATCGCTCCAGTGTGCTTTAAAACGTGCAGATTTGTTTTCACGGCCCGGATTTCCTACCACCCCCACAGGTAAAATCGATGAAAGGCTCTGTAAGGCATTGACCAAGCTGATGAGCCCTGCTGGGGTGGTGGTTTATGTGCAGCCACTCTCAGGACTTGCGCTGAGGTTTCCAAGCCTGGGCCCGCATGTTTGCGATACAATTTCTGGAGATGTGGGCAGTTGAAACCAGGAGCCCGGTGCACAGAGTGGGGTGTGGGGCTTTGGTTTGCCGGTGTGCCGCAGCGGTGCACAGCCAGCTGTGGATGCGGTGCTCAGCCCACTAGAGGGGAGTGTCCTCCTCTCAGAGCTGCCTGCCTGAAAGCTTAATTTTTTTTTTTTTTTTTCCTTCCTTTTGCAGTGGAGGAGTGATGATTTATTTTGACAGGATCGAGGTGGTGAATTTCCTCATCCAGAGTGCAGGTGAGCTCTTCCCCTGTGACCTCACGACTCCTGCCACCCCGAGTTGTTTGTGCTCCTGCTGGTGTGTGATGAGGTGGGGAGGCTGTGCGTGGCTGTGCATTGATTTGGAGCTGGGCCTACCGCGGGTATTCCCCTATGCACATTGTAAAGCCCTGTACTTCCCCGGGCATAAACTCTAAACCAGCTCTCCCAGGCGTTTTGTGTGTTTATTATTTCTTGCACATACTTGTTCTATGCTGCTAGTTGCTTCACTAATACCTGAACACCATCCATCACTTCTGCTGCTTGTATTATTACAGCCCCAATGGGCTTTATGCTTCAGTGAAGAACTTCTGATTTGAATAACGAGGTGTGCAAGAGGTAGGGGAGACACGGTGTCTGAGCAGAAGGCTGCCTCTGAAGCCTGAGGAGAATGACCTTTGCAACCTTTTTTCCAAATTCTTTGAGTTCTAACATCCTATTAGTTACAAGTGTGCTATAACTGCCTGGCTCATTGGTGGTGTGCTTTGAGACCTCTGTTTTACGCCAGCTGCAGGATGTTCTTCCCTCGTTGTGCATAGACCACACAGTCTGCATTCTGCAGCTTGGACACAACCCGTGCATGTTTACAGAGAGTGTAGAGAGGGCTGTTATTAATTAGATGTCCTGCTCACAAAGCACGTGACAGAATATTGGTTAGGGTGTTGTGAAATATTAGCACTGATTAAAACTTCCCTGAACAAAGTATTTGTTTGTGGTATAGACTCCTCTTGTGGGTGGATTTTTCATTTCAGACTGGCACTGCGACTTGCTGCCGTGACTGAGCCATGAGCTTTTCACTGCGAGTGCTCAGCCCAAGCTGAGACATCATTCCAACCTAGCAGTTAACACTCTTTTTTTTTTTTTTTTTTTCCTTTTGTAGTATATGACATAGTGAAGAACTACACTGCTGACTATGACAAAGCTCTCATCTTCAACAAGATTCACCATGAGCTGAACCAGTTCTGCAGTGTCCACACGCTGCAGGAGGTCTACATTGAGCTGTTTGGTGAGCTGCCCCTCTGACCTTTTGCTGTTGGGTTGATGGCTCCTGGAGTGATGTTTCTGTTGGTTATTTACATGGTCTGTTGGTGCAGAACTCACTACCCCCAGCTGATGGGCTTTTTACCAATTAATCCAGTGTCTGCTCTGCTTGGAATCCCAATTGTTAGCCAGCTACAGCTGTTATTACTTCTTGTTATCTTTTGGTGATGAGTGCTTCAGTATGTTGTAACACAAAAAAAAAAAAAAATCCAAACCTGCCAGTAGTAATAGAGGGCTTTAGGGAAGGGAACAGTAATTTTGTGGCGTTGTTTGTGTATTTAGCAAATGTGACTTACTGAATCAGTCGCAGCGTTTGCTGGTCAGGATGGAACAGCCAGTCTTCTGCCGTTTGCTGTTACAAGAAGTGTGAGTGAGCACTCCCTGGCCCGTGGGTTTCATCAGCTTTGTCATGCGTGTGGCTGCAATGCCCGGGCACCGCGAGCGAGCGCTGGAAAACGGGACTGCTTGGCAAGGGCCTGCTGACCTCCCTCCCTCGCTTCAGGCCGCTGGGAAGTCGGGCAGCACAGACGCTGGAAGAACACATTGCAAGAGAGTCTGAAGAAAAGCTGTGGTTTCTTGGTAGAAATAGACCAGTCGCTGCCAGTGCTGAGTGTTTTATTTATGACTTTGGACTGACGAGAAACTCCTTCCAGCCTTTCAGCACTACAGCAGTGCAGACTGCGGGCAGTGTTGCTGTGAATGGGTTTGGACCCCAAATGGGCAGAATCTGTGCCTGAAAGAACAGGGGGTGTTTGCAAACTCCTGTTCTCTGTTCAGACTGGGCTTTCCAAGAAGCTTGGCTTTCTGCTTTCTGACATGCTTCTGCACAACATGCAGAACTGGGGCTCAGTTCCCCTCCAGTTCCTTTATGGGACTGCTGGCGAGTGTACTGGTCCTTTGCTGATGGAGTCTCCAGATGTCGGCAGCTGCTGACGACAACTGCTTGAAATGGACTCAAAGCCACTGATTTGCACAGAAGGAACTTGTATAAACTCCCGTGTAACTCTTTGTTTGAGCTGAATGTTTCCTGGCTCGGGGGTTCTGAAATGGGGCACGGCCCATTTTGAGCAGACTTAGGTCATTCTCTGCCCCACATCTGCGAGCAGGTGCAGGAAACTGATAACAGCTGTTTCCTGGACTCCTGGCTGAACTTCATTGTGAGTGTGAGTTCCAGATAGCTAAACTGGGACCAAAGCAAATAATCAAGGAGTGCGATGTGATCACTTTCAAGGCCATTACATTTTTATTTTCCCTTTGCGCTTCTCAGCAGGCCCCAGCTGGAAACGCTGCTATCCTTAGAGCTTCTCGCTGAAGCAGGGCTTTGGTTTGTATTTCCTTTTGAAATTTCTTAGATATGCTGGAGTTAACTGTTATCCATGGAGCCAAACAGACGTTACCAATGACTTTTTTGCAGCCCATTAAAATAACTAATGCACCCATTTCACATTTCTGCCTTTCCATTTTCTTTGTCTGCTGCTGGCACAGATGCAGTTCCTAATCGGTCACAGTTTAGCTGGACCACGTTACTTCAGGATCTACTTGGGAAGATATCAATGGGGAAGTGGGTTAGAGCACAAATTCTTTATCGTAAAGATGCTACTTCTGCTGCGGAAAGATTCCAAACTGCAGGTTATGGGAAACTGGAAAGAGTTTGATTTTTATGCCTGCCGTGTTCCTGTAGTCTGTCCCAAGTACTTGGTGCTGGTCGGTGCTGCTTGACATGCTGAGAGAGATGGGAACCTGCATTGGGGTCAGGGGTGTTTTTTCTCAGACTAGAACTTCTACATTAGATTCATACTGACTTTCCAGAAATAAGAAATCTGAGCCATTCCAGCCAATTCTCTACGTGTTGACAGCAAACTGCCTTGTGGGATTTTTAGTTACTTTTTTTTTTTTTTTCCCCCAATCAGATCAGATTGATGAAAACCTTAAACTGGCCTTGCAGCAGGACCTAACTACAATGGCCCCTGGATTAATTATACAGGTAATCAGGATTCCACTTGGAGATATCTGAGAGTCAGATCATAAGGAGGGGTAAGGGCTAAATGGAAATACGAAGCTGTGAAACTTTTTTAGAAAACTGCTTTATAATGTAGACTTTGTTTAACTTGAGGGATGAGAACAGTATCCCTTCTGTCCTTTCTTAGCTTTGTGTTGAGTTTCTTCTGGTGTTATTCTGGGTACTAGTTTACCCAGGTTGTAATCTCCTGTCATGTCAAGAGATCATTCAGTCCCGCGTTTGCTCTGTGGAGTTTGGACCTGGTCACGATTTCTGCAGCATGCAAAAGCTTTGTGTGGCAGAGCATGCCCTAAGCATTAGCTCCCCCTCCCTTTGCAGCCTCGGGGGCCGTTTGGCTTTTGATTGTTGGCTGCTTGCCTATGTTTTCTTCGGCCTCTCTTTCCAGGCAGTTCGAGTTACAAAGCCAAACATCCCTGAAACAATCCGGAGGAATTATGAGCTCATGTAAGTGCCTGAGACTTGCACCTTTGTGTTACCAAAAGGAATCGGTCATCCAGATTAATGTGTTTTCACAGCAAGCAGTGATCAGAGTGCCCTCTGCCAGGCCTGCTCTCAGCCTCGTGCTGCCGTTCAGAAAGGGGCTGGTGGGGCTGCACCAGATGAGCACGTGTCTGTCACTGTGAGTGGCTGGCAGGTCACTGCTGAGTTAGAAGGTATTTCTCCATTTTGAACACTTGAGCAGAGAAATTACTTGCCCAGGGGCTCCTTCCTCTTGACACTGGCCCTCTCTTAAAGAGGCCTCCCGGAGCATGTGAGTGAGTGGCAGGTGGAGAGATTCCACTGCTAATCCTGTTGTTTGACTAGGATGGAGAAACTGTTGATTCAACAGGCTGAAGACTTGCAGAGCTTTGAAATAACTTTCTTTAATAGCACTTGACACACTGATCCCTTTTCAATGCTCTGAGCCAGCTGCCTTCTCTTGCACTTGATCATTCTGAAATGCTTATGTTCTCCAAGCACTCTGCCAACAGACTGTTCTATGTAGGCCAGAATAAGATCTCTCATCCATTTTGCTTCTCTAGCATTTCATATGACCTTCTGGTATCATGGTAAGTCATGTGCAGTATGGTCACGATAGGCAGAATCCCCAATCAGCCTGTTATCTGTTGCCATAAATACAGCAGGATACGTGTTGAGAGAGACTTCTTGACTAATCTCTCTTCCCTGATGGGGAACAGGAGCAGAGTATTTTATTTATATACAAGCTTTTAAAACTTACTAGTGTATGTACAAAACAGTAAGATAGAAAAGGCTGTAGCATGTAAAATGCACAGAGCCATTTCATTGGATGAAGGGTGATTTCAAAGCTGTAAACTTCCAAATGAAGAATAGCCATCTGCAAGGACAAGGCTTTTACAGGATTTTAATTTCTTACTTTGTTTAAATAACTTCCTCATTAACAGTAGCCCCAAAAACTTACAGATGTGTATGGTCTGTGACCTGGCTCTTGTAGAATGCACTATGGCAGCCTGTAGAGAGTAGCAGGGAGTGTTTCACGCTGACTTGAGGGAAAATGCTTCCCGCTATGGAGGGGAGAAAGAGACACTTTGGTTTAAAAAAAAAAGCTCTGTGTGTGCAGGTACGTGGACTCACTTTCCTGACTGCTGCCTGCCCTAAACTCAGGCTCAAGGGAGGACTGAGCCAAAAGCTCATCCTGGAGATGCGGCAGGCCACACCACCTCAGGAAGCTCACGTCTTGTAACTGGCTTCTTCTGCCTCACTAGGGAGAGTGAGAAGACAAAGCTGCTGATTGCAGCACAGAAGCAGAAGGTGGTGGAGAAGGAGGCGGAGACAGAAAGGAAGAAAGCCCTCATCGGTCTGTATGTCTTTGCTTGAAGGCAGTAGCTATAGGGGAGGGGTTGGGTAGGCAGCAAGAAGAGCCCAGATGCTGGAGAGGGGTGTAGCTGGTTCACTTAAAGGGATCTCTCTGCTGCATCTCTTTGCTGACCTGAAACTCTTCCAGAGAAACTCAAGAGTTTTTCGGGTGGGTTCCAGCCTTGTCCACAAACGTAGACTGATGCCTTCTGAGGGCTAAAAATTCTTCCCACAATTTATTTCCACCAGAAGCGGGTGGTTTCATGGGTGAAGCTGATTCTGGCATTAAGAAGACTGTGTGATGATAATGTGGATGTGTTCTTTTTCATTTCAGAGGCAGAAAAAATTGCACAAGTTGCTGAAATAACTTACGGACAGAAAGTGATGGAAAAGGAAACAGAGAAGCGAATTTCAGAGATTGAAGGTGAGCTTTGCAATAAGTAACTGTTCTGTAGTGAATTTTATCTAAAGATCCTGAAACAGTTCACCATGGAGTCAAGTAGCTCTTGAAGTGTGTGCATTGACTGCGTTCTTCAATCCAAGCTGACATGCACAGGGGTGAAGTTACTGGTCTGAAGTCTTTCATTTTAGCCCACGTGTGTGGTGCCTTATGTAATGCATCGCAGTTCTGAATAAATGTGTCTGAATACGCAGATTCTACCAACATTTCAGGGCCTATTTTGCAGTGGTGTTTTCAACAGGGCAGATCAGTCAGGATAGGAGGAGGCATTTGGGATACTTGGGCAATAACAAAGTGGAGCTCGACCCCAGATTCTTGGGTGATTCCTCATATAAGTGCAGGAGGTATAGTTGTCACAAGTACGGAGGAGGGGAATGGCAGGCTCATGTCGTCCTTGAAGTCATGGCAGGTTTTGGATAATGGCTGCAGACTCTCACAGAGAAGTGGAAGCATCCTAAAACACTACTGTGCAATCTTGTAGGAGATAATTTCTTGATTATCTGCAGTAGGGTAGGGTTGTGGAAGCTTTCTATCCTTTTCTTGCCTAGGATTCTTTTAGAACCTGCCTCTTTCTTGGCATGAAGAGGTATGCAAATTTAGCTTTAGTTTCTTGTGTAGCGTGAAATATTTAGAAAACAAAGTCTGGCTATTACACGTTCTGCAACAGCAGAGGTCTGTTTTGTAGCTTCCAATTCCTAAAGGTTGAGAAAAGGGGAGGGGGAGCTGCTCCTTTTGAAAATGTAGTATTTTGTGCATTTTTGCTTTTTCATCCTCCTTTAGTTTTGCAGCCAACTACTTTTAGGAACTAGGGTTGACCAGAGGCAGGAATAGAAATGTTTTTTTTGCAGACTGTGCTTCCTGAAACTCCTTTTCAAAGTAATCTTTCTAGGAGGTTGTATGTTGAGTTAAGATGATGTCCCCTCACCCATTTGATACAATGCTTTGTCAAGGAGAGTCGAGGGCATGAATGGGGTTTCCATCTCCAGCTCAGAGTGGCAAGGCCTTATTTTCAGTTAGATTCATTATAGGCCCTGTCAAGCTTTGCAGATGGCCACTGAGGAGCCAATTAAGAGTTTTACAGATGAGCAGCTTCTCATTAAGAAGCTCTTCACAGAAATACAGTGGTTTTTACTTCTTGTAAATCTGTGTCACCGGGTGTCAGGACTGCAGTTCAACTCTGTGCTGGCAGAGGACTCCTGTCACCCTCATTCTTTCTAGTGTCTCTGACTGGGACCACTCTTAGCAGAAAGAGAGGAAGTCAGGGGCCAAGCCATCCAATTGCTTACGTGATTTTTAAGTGTAGCAGCTCACAGGACTCCCTGGTAATATAGGTAAACAAACGGCTTATGCAGCTGTGCAACTCTCAAATCCAGACTGACGTGTTCCAATCATGTGGCTCCCTGTCCTAGAAGGAATGTCAAGAGGTCACATTGAACATCACAGATTACACCCATCTTAGCCTTAACGTGGTGGACTGATACCACATCATTATCGTTGGATAGATAAAAAGTCAGAAGGGAGGAAAAAGAAGCACAATACAGAAAGGGAGCGTGTTTCTTTTCCTTAAAAATCTCTGCTAGGAGTTGGGGAATTTAAGTATCCTGCAGGATCAGACCCCTTACGCAATTGTTGACATTGCAAGGAAACAGCTCTCTAACATCTGTCTGAGGGGCAGAGCCTGTAAAAGTTGAAATCGCCTGCTTCTACGTGCCAGAACCTTAACCTCAACATCCCAGACAAAATCCCATCTGGGGAATTGCATTCACAGTCACAGGCTTCATCTGTAGAGCAGTCTGCTGTGCTGTTCTTGGAGTCCTGTGCAAATGTTGTGGGTAAATACCACTTTTGCACTGGAACAGTTGCTGCACTTTCAGCACGAGAGTTAGTGGCTGGCTAGAGAAGAAAGAACGTTCTCGGCCTGCGTGACAGGGGTTGTAATAAAAACCTTATGTTTATAAAATGCTTTGAGGTCTTCAGTTGCAGATGCAATTTACTTATTTAATGCTATCATCCTGCAGCGTTTTATATGTAAATTGAGATCCCATTTCTGGGGTTTGCATTTTGTTCCTTCTTCCCCTTGTTGTGTCCAGTACAGTTTAGATGTGGTACTAGGCACTTTAAAAAGTTTCCAGCTGCAAATGGTGCTAACATGGCTGAAAATAAAACTGAATACGAGAGCATGTGTTTTCTTCCAGATGCTGCATTTCTTGCAAGAGAGAAGGCAAGAGCTGATGCTGAATGCTACACTGCTATGAAAGTAGCTGAGGCTAACAAGGTATTGTTACTTCCTCATGCTGTGCCGTGAAGCAGGGCTCCTTGTGTTAGGCTGTATAGAAATATTCAGCAAAAGAGCAGTCTGTTTATTGTTGTGTCTCATTGTTTAAGTCAAAAGGCAAAACAAAGCCACCATCTCGGAAAAGTTTTCATCGAAACTGAAACAATTGGATCCTCATTTGGAAATTCATTTTCTGGTCAGATAAATTTATGTTGGGATACATGAAATATCTGGTCATCTCTGGAGACAGCTCTGCTAGATGCTAACGGGGCCATGGTTCCCTCTAGATAGAATATCCGTTTCAGTGTTGCCCTTTCATGCTGTTGTAATCAGAAATGTCAATTGATTCCAATGTGCAAGCTGGCAAGCAATCAAGGCAGGGAGATCTCTAGAGTGACAGGAAGGCTTAGAGTCAACAAGTGTTCAGGCGATGAGCAAATGAAGCTGATCTTATACACCAAACTAACTAGCCTGGCAAAGCCTTGGTACCTCAAAAGAGGGGAAAAAAAAAAAGACACCTGGAAACAGAAATTGTATGGATAGAACTGCCAGGCTTGTTACTGTCTACAGCAAGTTCCCAGGGCATCCCAGCAGGAAGACTTTCTGTTTTGGAAGGCTCAGTAAGAATGGACAGAGGTCTGGGGTGTTTGTGCACAAGTTCTGTCCCAATTAATTCTGTCCTCTCGGTTATAATGTTGTTATCCTGAACGAATGAGCTCTGCTTTCTAGAACAGACTTGTCAATCCACTCTGGAAAAAAGCCAGTTGTGTTTTTCTTTCCAGTAGCTTGCATTGCAAGGGCATTCAGTGAATTATGTGCTTTTGAGCATCACCATCTCTGGTACATTTCGATTGAACGTTTCCTCAGCTGCTTCCATCACTTTCTCATTTGTCACTTAGTCACTGGGATTTAGAGCTTCACTTAGACATACTGAAAGAGAGCCTTCTTCTGGGCACTCTGTCTTTTCAGCTGAAGAGAGGATGAGCATGCTTGCTAGTGTTGTGGAAAAGTAGATGCCTTGTATGCTCGTAACAGAAATTTGCGTTTGACTGAATCCGAGCTGTTGGTGATCCGTTTTCTTTTTGTGCAGCTGAAGTTAACTCCTGAATACTTGCAGCTGATGAAATACAAGGCTATCGCAGCAAACAGCAAGATATATTTTGGCAAAGATATTCCCAACATGTTCATGGACTATGCAGGCAGCCAGACCAAATTTGCAGAGGGACTGGCAGAAGGAATCCCAGAAGAGGATGGGGCAGGAACCAGTGAGGACACAAAACTACTTCATAATGTCAACTGAAAAGAAAAATTTCTATTTGTTTTATATATATATAAAAAAAAAAAAAAAAAAAAAAAAAAACACCACCTGGGAAGTTCCTTTCTGGTTTCCCCCTTTCCTGTACCAAAAAAGATGAATCAGACTTAATCCTTTCAATCTTTTGTATGACAATTAGACACAAAGACTTTGGTATTTATGAGGTGTGTTTTTTGTGGTAGCTTCTAAGCAGCCAGCTCCAGGTATGTCCTCTAGATGCACCTCTCCCTGCTCTCGTAATATAGACCAAAGTATTCTGGAGAGGCTAGCTAGACTGCTTGTCTGCAGCCACCTTAGATGGGTAATTAATTTTGGATTGAGGTGGTTCATAGCAGTTGGAAGTAAAGAAATGTTGAGGTTTTGTAGGGAGGGGAATTGCTGCTACAACTTGGTGGGTTTGTTTTGTTTTTTTTTTTTCTTCTTGGAAATTTCGAGTACTTTATTTTAAACCCCTTTTAAAAAAAGGTGCTAGACTTTCGTACACTAAGCATGTCTGCTTGAAGGCCTGGGCCTTGTCCAAATGGCAGGTTCGTGCCTGTCGTGTGGGGCACTGGCACGCTCTAACAGCCTCTGTCTATGCTCCAGGTCTGTCCTGAGTGCAGGGTGCAGCAAATGCACAAAACCACCTTTTACTGAGGTCTGAGCCAATGTGTTTTGCCTTGGTAGGGCAGCTGAGACCACGTGCACAGTGAGTTACAGAAGTTCAGCTGAAATCCCAGGGGTCACTTAGTTACCATGAGGGGGTCTAAGCCTCAGACCATGTGTTGTGCAGGTAGTGGCCCAAACTGTTCATTTTCTGCATCTTACCACTGGTTTGTTTTCCATTTGTCATACTTCAGGAGGACAATCAGGAGTAGTCTTTATTTTGAGGCTTTTTCCAGCAGTTTAGCTGCTCAGTGAGGGGTGTAGGCATGCTGATGGGGGCAGCATCCTGCCAGTGGATAATTGGACTTGATTTTCCGTGAAACCAGACTGCAAGCATGGTACTTGTCACAGCCGACATAGTTAGAAAAACTAGGGAGAAAAGAATTTTTGTCTCAGGGACCCTGACTTTGCTTTTTGCAAACTCCTTGCTGGCGAGTAACTGCTTGAATGACTAGTCCCATGGTCATTACAGGACGTTATCTGCCTCTGCAAGACCAACTGTATTTCAGTGTTTACAGTGTCTTATTAGAAAGAGGACATTCAGGTAAACTGAAATGAAGGGAACCGAGTTACTGTTGGTTTGTTTTTTTTTTTTTTTTTCTGAATAGACCTTGTGAAAGGCAGATTGACTAGTAGCAAAGGACATGAAACATCATACTGAAGTCACAGGACAAAGAAGAGAACCTATTGTCTCCAAACTGTCCAAAGATAAATTTTCCTTTTTCACTCAGAACAATGCTATATAATGTACCTTTCACTTCAGAAAACTTCTTAATTCTTCGCATACCAGATGCAAAGAGTTTTAAAAGTAATAGGGTTTTATTTTACACACATGCAAAACTTGAGGGGGTGTTAAAGACAAAGATTTGGGCCTCAAATGTTTGTTGTTTTTTTTTTTTTTCCCTCTCCCTAATCCATCTGCCACTTGGCAGGAGAGCCTGTTTATTAATTGCTGTTATAATTTGCGGCCAACGTACTAATATGAGATGATGCAAGTTTAAGTGCTAACTTAGTTGTCAGAGACCAGCCTATTGCATTTACAGTCTTGTGCCCCAAACGCTTGCTACCTACTACACTTGGTTTCATTCTTCAGTGTTTTAAACATGCATTAATCTTTTTAATAAGGCAATCACACTAAAATAGAAGTCTGATTTATTTCAGCTGCTGGTTCCAGTATTTTTACTTCAGTTTTCTTTTCCCTGTTAAAGTGATTATTGATTATTTGAAAATGCAAAATAAGAGCTCTATAAGCATCAATTTCTGCTGGAGGAGAGTCTCATCTCCTATGTGTCATCTTTGCATTTGTTGGAAAATATGAGCTAAGGGAAGTTCTGTCTCCAGACTGATGTACTACATTAGACAGCACAGCCCTTTATAAATAGGTGTCTGCAGGAGGATTATGAACAGGGAATAGCAGAAACTTAGAAATGAGGTAATAGTACCTAAACCTTTGAGGATGATCTCATTTGGGATTGTTCCACATTCTTGCTGGAGATGTCCATTAGTAACTCAAACCTACTTTTTACATGAGTATTTTTCACTAAAGAAAAGACACAAATAAGCCAAAGTAGTATTATAAAGCATGTTTTTGTATGACTCCACAGTAAGACAATACTTTGGAATAAATAGGTCTTAATGATTTTTTTTTTTTAATTGAAAACATTACTGCTGAGGTATTCTTGTAATTTAGTTAAATTGTAATAACAGTAAAAAAAGAAAAAACAAAGTTGACTTCATACAGTCTTCACAAGCCACAATCCATTGTTGCATTTTCATTCAAGTTTCTACATCATTTGTGTAATTTCCCTAATAGATGTCACTACATATAAATCTTTATTCTACCTATCTGACACTTTGTCCTTATATCAAGATTTCAGATTATGGAAATGATGATCTGCATTTTCAAACCACTCTGTATAACAAAGAAAATACAGGTTTGTGGCACTGCTGATACCTGAGAGTTGCTGGCGGGAGCATGGTAATGCTTTACCAGTACAGTCTTTGATCTTATGTATGAAATTAAAAGCCTTTTTATTTTGGTATTTGCTATGACAATAAAATGGCCTTCAATTTTAATATCAAGTCTCTTTTTCATGGATAACCTTTCACACAGTGTGTAGATGTGTTTGCAGGAGAAGGTCTACCAGGGTAACACCAAGGCTGCCGTGGCTGCGGTGGGGTGCTGGCACGCGTGCCCGTGCCGCTGCGTGGGGCCAGTTCTCCCTTTCCAGTGAGCAGGAGAGAGGAATGTGGGAAGAAGAGGGGCAGAGGTGTCTGTGTCAGCCCAACAGCCAGCTGAGGGATGCCACAAGCGCTTTTTGGCCCCGCTTCGCTAACAGGATTGGTGAAAAATACGGTAACAAGACTTCAGTGGCAAATATCTAGGATTTGGTAGAGCTCACAGAAAATCATTGTCGTGTTTTACCAGACAAAGGGCAGGAGCCTTCTGGGTATTTTTAAACAGCTGTGTAAATACTGTCATTGCTCAGAATATGGGGAAGGAGAGTAAGTTCTGCACATTAAGACAAATATTTTAGTTAATAGGTTCCAGCTGGCAGTTTCCCATTCTTCCCCTCTGCCGTGCCGCGATAAAGGCTGGCATTGTCGGCGGCGCGGGGGCCTCCCGTGGCCCCTCTGCCTGCGTGGCTGCGCTCCAAGCGCTCCTCACAGCGCCGACCTGGCCTGCAGAACCAAGCGGTCCTGTTTTATAAGGTTTTTTGGTTTTTTTTTTTTTTTTTCTGAAATAAATGAGATCTGCACCCCGGAGAGACTGTTCTTCATGCAGCTGCGAAGAACGCAGTTTTGGGAGGGTGGGTTGTGTGGACTTTTTTCTAATTTGGGGGTGCGTTTTCTTGCAGTACGCAAGGTCTGCAGGTCAAAGTGAGTTCTGCAGTGCTGGGATGGGCAGCACTTGCACAAAAGAGGCTCTTGGCTGCCAGATTTTCTTTCCAAGCACAAGGGCCAAGGCTTTCTGCGGATGCTTTCCTCATAGCCAAGAGTAGCTGGTAGAAACCTCCTTCTCCCCCTTGCTCTCCCACAGAGGGGCAGTTGGGGTGCCAGGTGCTGACACCACTCCTTCGTTGCAGGCGGGACCACAGCTTTGTCGCTAGCCAAAACCGGCGAAAGGTATGAGGGGAGGGAGGGAAGGGGAACGCGTGTGCTGTGGGCAAAGCCCAGGCTTTCCCCGCGGGAGCCTGTGGAGGTTGGCAGTCGGATCCAAGGGACTCGGGGAGCGGGGTTCTGCCCCGGGCCTTGGCGCTGCCCTCAGCGATTCCCGCCATGGCGCCCGCCGACCTTCCCAACATGGCGCCTTCCGACCTTCCCAATATGGCCGCCGCCGCCTTCTGCCCCGCCCCGCCGCTCCCATTGGTCGCCCTTGGCGCGGCGGGGCGATCCCATTGGCCGCGGAGCCGGGGGGGCAAGGGGGCGGGGCCGGGCGGGGATGTGGAGGGCCGGCATGGCCGCCGCCGACGGGCTGGGCCCGGCGCTGCGGGCCGTCACCGAGCGGGTGCAGCAGGCGGCAGCGCGGAGGCCGGAGGTGAGGGGCGAGGCGGGGGGGGGGGACGGACACTCGGGGTGAGGGCGGAGAGCCCTTACCCCGCCGGGGTCAGCCCGCTCGCTGCGGCGGCAGGTCACCAAAGGGACGGGCCCCGCATCGTGAGGGCAGGTCTGTCGTCACCATGGAGACAGCCCCCCCCTTCCCCCCCCCCCCATCACCACAGAGGTGGGCCCACGGGTGTCTGTGGAGGCTGGACCCCGTCGTGATCCTTAGAGGTAGGCTTCCCCTACCGCTAGAGCCAGGGCTGCGTTGGGACAGGCCCCCATCAGGGTAGAGGTCACCCTGACCCCCTCCCACAGCAGCCCCAGGCTGTGGGGTGACCTGAGCTGGGGCTGGGTGCTGCAGGACACCGGGGAGAGCGTGGGGCAGGCCGGAGCCACCCCCGGGAATCCCCCCCCTCACCCTTCGGGTGCTTCTGCAGGGGCTCCCGGCCGTGCAGCCGCGGCTGGTGGCCGTCAGCAAGACGAAGCCGGCAGAGATGGTGATCGATGCCTACAGCCACGGGCAGCGCAGCTTCGGGGAGAACTACGTGAGTTTGTCACGCCCCGCGGGTCTGTGAGCGGGTCCCCACACCGAGGGCAGGCACCGGGCAGCCCAACACGCGTGGCTCTGCCTGTGGGGAGCTGGGCTGGGTGAGGCCACTGGCCTGGGGTTTCTGAGGTGCACGCTGGCCCCAGCATCACCCATCCCAGAGAGACCACTCCTCTGGTGCAGGCATGCCTGGCATGGTTTTAACGAGAGATTGTCTTGAATTCTCCTAGGTTCAAGAGTTGCTAGAAAAGGCATCAGACTCTAGAGTAAGTACGTGGTTCCTTTACATATTCTCTCTCCTTGTACAGCTGTGTCCTGAGAGCTGTTTAGCAAAAGCCCTGTTTTTTGTTAGGGATTTGGCAGTGGAGGCTGCTTGTTACTTGTCTTTTTAGATAAATGATGGGGTTATTCTTAGCTCATTGCCTCTGCCCCATTCCCCCTCCTTGCTGGCTCCAGAGGATTCTGTGAGTACGTGCACCTTAGTCATAAAGAATTTGTCTGAAGAGCACGTTTTGTGCTTTCTGCTGTAGGAGATATGCAATCCTCCTTGAAAAAAAACGGTAACACTCAGTTTGGGCAAAACACCTAATTTTAAGGTTGTTCGGTTACAAAAGAGCTTTGCTTTTTCCATTCACGGTGCAATGCTCTGCAGCCACAGCCCTGTTCCTCTCCAGGCTGTGAAGCAATCTCAGCACACACCACAAGCACTGCCTGAGCCTTGTCTTTCAGGGTAAACAAAAGAAAAAGATTGGGTGTCTGGTATTTTGTTTGTGGGCAAACTAAGACTTAAGTACTGTGGGGGGGAAGAGGGAATTGCCGTTCAAACCTAACTGTTCCTCTCTGCTTTCAGATTCTGTCCTCTTGTCCAGAGATTAAGTGGCATTTTATTGGCCATCTGCAGAAAAATAATGTCAACAAGTTGATCGGTAAACTCTCTTTAATTTTATGTGCAGTGACTCTGTGGGCAATAGTCTTCAAATGTTCAAATAATAACAACCTCGTGCACATTAACTCACCAGTGCTTGTCTCTGTGAGTGAGCTGAGTTGTAGGTACAAAACTTTCTGTGCCAGCAGAATTGCCCTCAGCCTGTGTTTTCTCCCCAGCTGTCCCTAACCTGTTCATGTTGGAAACGGTGGATTCTGTGAAACTGGCAGACAGAGTCAACAGCTCGTGGCAGAAAAAGGGGTCGTCTCAGAAGCTGAAGGTCATGGTGCAAGTTAACACAAGTGGAGAAGACAGTAAGTGGCTTTCGCTGATGGTGCACAGGTTTTTCCTGCGGACTTGACAGAAATGACCTGAATGGGATGGGTTGATTTGTGCTCTTAAAGCGTTTCTCTAAGCTAAGATGAAACTTGATCATCTGTTAGCTTCTGCCTGGCTGCAGAGAGGGGAGATCTGTGGCAGAGCTTGGCACAAACCTCCCTGCTTTTTGCCAGGTAAGCACGGCCTTCCTCCCGGAGACACCGTGGTGGCTGTGGAGCATGTCATCAAGAATTGTCCAAGCCTGGAGTTTGTGGGGCTGATGACGATTGGCAGCGTTGGGCATGACCTTAGTAAGGGGCCAAATCCTGACTTCCAGGTAAGACTTTCTAGAAAAAAATGTCAGCTGTTGCCTGGCCTCTTGTTACAGACTTGTCTGCCCCGGTCAAACCAACATGCAGTCCAGCTGTAAGTCTGACTGTAGATTGTCAATAGAAACACCTTGTTCAGACTAGTACAGAGCTCTGAAGTGTCAGTATTAGTGCCGCTGTTGGGCTCGTTTCTGCAGAGGCCAGGTGCCCATATGTATTTATTTCTCTGAAGCTGCAGCCAAGATATTGGCAGGGGTATCTTACGCAGCAGTTACTGTCCTGGATCCCCCGGTCCTGCTTTCAGACGAGGTTTGTCAGCCCTTTGCACACTGTGTGTGCAGGGCTGCATCAGGCAGAGGATCTGGGTCTGTGTTCCTCGTCTGTCATGCTAGTGTGATAACTGGATGGCTTCAGAAGATGTGTAGACTCGTGAGTACGTGTGCTGTCAGTAACACAGTAATGGGAAATATCCAGGCACAGTTACAGTGCTGCAGAGCAAGCTTCAGCGTCAAGTGTGGGAATTTCATGTTCTGTGTGAAGGAGACTTCAAAGAAAGGCAGAAATCGTGATCTGTGAAACCTGAAAGTGAGCTGGTGTGGCTGTCAAGTGTGTGACCCTCTCTTCTTTCCTTCTCCCTTCTAGATGCTGCTATCTTTGCGGCAGGAAGTGTGTGAAAAGCTCCATCTCCCCGTTGAGAAGGTGGAGCTCAGCATGGGCATGTCCACAGACTTCCAGCACGCAGTAAGTCTGGTTTCCTTCTGCCACCTCTTCTCCCGGGAAACGAGCGTACCAGCACCAGCAGTAGGCCTCCCAAAGTCCAGCCCAGGCCTCATCCAAACGGGCCTCTTAGGTCTGGATGGAGATACTGACGGTGCTGTTGTTTGAAAAACAGCTCTCCCGGTCGTGGGATGGAGTCTGGGCTTCAAAACAGACCCTAGGTGTAGCTGCAGATGGCCAGTACCTGGGGAACCGTCCGTCTGTGGCAGGGCGAGTGGACTGTGTTGGCAGGTGCAGGTGGCAGCCCTGCCCTGAACTCCTCCTTTCTGTCTCTTCGTAGATAGAGGTTGGATCCACAAACGTCAGGATTGGAAGCACTATTTTTGGAGAGCGGGATTATTCCAACAAAGCAGCCGGTGACAAGGCCCCTGCTGAAACTGAAGGCAAAACAGAGACCGTGACAGTGCAGGGTCATTAAATGGGAAAAAGTGGCCTCGACAGAGGACAGCTGATGGGAGACCTCACTATGCATTCTTACCTCCCTCTGTGTCGTCACCCAATCATGATGGTGAGAGGGAATTCCTCGTAACAGAACAGAGGCCAGAAATGCCTCATAATTTATTGTGATCATAAATTACCCATAGAAACTGGAGATTTTTATAACCAACAAATGATAAGAAAATTTATGGTTGAAAGTGACTGTGGTATCTTGGCTCCTTCGGGGTCATTAAGAACAGTGACTTTTGGATAATTAGGTTGAACAAACTTAAGTATTTGCCAGGATGAAGTTGCTAATGAGCAGGATGTATCTGCAGCAGTGTTGGTGATTGTTCTCACTGAGGACTAAATTCTTCATTAAACAAGTTATAATCTTGCCAGAGACATATAAATGTTTCCCCAAATAAAAGTTTTGTGCGCGGTCACTACTGAGGAAATAAAAACTGTGACAGAGGCATACTGTGACACTGGAGAGACTGGTTCCATTTAAACAGAGGATGAACAACAAGCACACAAGGATGGAGGAGGGACGCAGTTGCCAGGATGAGTTCATGGTGTAATGTTTCGGGTGCAGATCGCACGTGTGGGAGTGTCCTGGCTGCAGTTCATGTTCGTGCTGTTCAGGCTGACACTGCTAACTTTTCCCATTGGTTCTGTGTCTGCCGAGATCTGGGATGCTTTCAACCTTCCCCCCTTGTGGAGTGGTGTTGGGAGTTACTTTCATCCTGCCTAGTAGTTGTTGATGCTGTAAGTTCTTTTTGGTCAGAATGGGGCTATTCTGCAAGGCCCTTGGTCTTACCATCAGCTTGCTGTTGCTTTCCAAGGCAAGTCACTTAACTGTTTGGTGCCTCCACCATCCCCTCTACATCTGTATGAGGAGAATAGCATTTGCTGGTCTCGCAGGACAGCAGTGAGGTTTGCTAGAGGCCCTTCAGGAAAAAGTACTTCAGAAAGTAAAGTAGTATTGCTCCGCGGTGTTCTAGGTTCCAGGAAAAAAAAAAAAAAATCCTGTTGCCACTGACAGAGCTTCTAGGCTATGTCTTAAAATCTTAAGTGCCGGTCTTGCCTTCGCTTCTGGAGGAGGGAAGCGGGACTCACCGCGGTAGCGGTTCCAGTCAGGTGGGAGCAGAAGCTCCTGCACTGTCACGTGCTGGTTTTGGCCAACGGTGGCTGTGGCAACTCTCTTGTAACCCGTGTCACAACCGCATTTTGGGGCTTTTGTGCACTGTGAAGAGGAGGAGACATCAGTTACCAGCAGAAACATCCTTCCCAGGCTTTTCTCTGTGTGCGTGTGGTTAAATCTAGCTGTTGGTTTTACTCTCTGACTATAAATGCTGAATGTAAATGAAAAGAGTCAACTCTAACACCAACCTGTCATGGCTACATGGTTTAGAAGCAACATGCAGTCTGAGCTGCCCTCCTCGGCACTGCACCATGTGTTGTTTCATAGCCTGTTAATAAAAAGTGGTGAATTTTAATACCATCTGTGCCAACTATAAAGCTATTAAAGATGTTATTTTTACGTTCCAGCGTTGTGAATAAATGCCCTGAGTTGCCGCTGAAGCTCTTTCCCAAACCTGGAGCTGCTGTCGAGCGAGATTTGCTTTGTCTGGGGCTGGAGGGAGGAGGGCGGTTGGAAAGACAGCCGAGAGCTGGCCGGGAAAAGCGAAGCTTGCTTGCAGGGGAAGGCGCGAGGGCGAGGTGTTGGCCGGCTGAGCTGTTCCTGGAGGAGCCCTCTGGGTGGCACTGCTCCCCTGGCCCGCCCAGGGAGGGACAGCAGCTCCCCGGCTGCCTGCGGACACGTACGGATCAGCGAGTCTCAAAAATAACTCAGTTTCCCATCCGAGGGCTGAAGCGAATCCCCCTTTCTCCCACCTGCCTCTCCCCAGGATTTCGGTGCCGCGCACGGGCCGCGGGTCCTCACGCGTGCAAATCTCAGCACGTTTAAAGCCTCTGGTTTATTTTGCAGAATGCAGCCGGGGCGCCCGATCTATCCAACGCGCGAAGACCGCCGGCGTCCCCGCAGTGGGCGTTTGCTGCTTGTCAGTGTTGGCTGGGGCCCGCCGTAGCAAGCGAGGAACGAAGGTGAGCTGCTACCTGAGCTTACAGAGCAAGCCCAGCCCCGGAGCCGGGGGTTTTGAGCCCAGGCGGGGATCGGGGACCCCCTGCTCTGCTCCCCCCCCTCACTGACAGCCTGGGGCTCCAAAACCAGCTGCGCGGCCGCCGCTCTTCCTGCCCGAGCATGGAACAGCGGGGCGGCCTTACCCTGAGAACTGTCTGGCGGCGTGGCTCGCATCCCCTCTTGCTTTTCCTCTCTCCAGCATTTTGTCCTTACGCTGGCCAAACTTAATGGAGTAGTCAGTGGTGCAAACCGGGAGGTGAGTGCGCGGGTGGCTGTGGGGGCAGCGCAAGGCTTGCCCTGGCTCTCGTGCCCTGAAGCTCTGGCTGGGCGCAGCGGCATTTCAGGAGCAGGCTGGCTCGCGAAAGCGTGCGGCCGCCTGGTTTTGTGATCTGCCTCTGTACTCTCTGCTAAAACATTCAGGGCCCCGTCAGCTCTGGCGCTGGCCTCCTGCGCGGGACCGCGGCTGTCTCGGTGGCTCTGGGGGTGCTCTCTGCTGAAGGACACCCCTCCCCTCCGGCTGGGCCGCGGCGTGGGGGCTGTGCCCGAGCAGCAGCACGCCGGCGTTGGGCTGTGACAAGGCGCCGGAGAGGGGAGCAGCGTGAGCTTCTGCTCCCTTCTTCTGCAGCTGCTTCTCTCGCCCATCCTGCTTCCAACAGCCTTTTTCCTTCTGACCGCGTCGTGCCCCGGAGCTTTGCCCTGCTCCTCCTCTGGCCGTGCCCGCCGGCACCTTCTGTTCCTCCCTGCACCCACCGCGGTGTCGGTGACGCCGGACACCTGTCTGGGGGGGGAGCGGGGCGCAGACCACCCACTCCTTCCGCAGAGGTCACCCGGCAGATGGTAACTGCTGGTCACTGGAGAGGAGCCAACGAGTCGGAGATGAAAGGCTCCCTGGCCTCTTAATGAACCACTCCCCGCTCAGGCACCTCGGCCCCCTGCAACACAAGCTTTATTTACATCTATTAAAAGCACTGGGCCGGTTTATTGAAGCAGCAGTGCTCTCGCTCCCCGCGCCTCGGGGCAGTGTCACTGTCAATATTTGCCTTGGAGGAACGCGTCCAGCAGATGAAGGCTTGCTTGGCGGCCAGAGGGACTCCTCCTCCCTCGTGACTTGCAGCCCGTGCTGCTGGCCGATGGCGCAGGCGCCGTCCCCTCCCGCAGCACAAGCACGGCCCCGGCTTTCCCAGCAGTGCCCCGAAGCCGCCCTTGTTTCCCCGCTGTCCCTTGGCTGGGGGTTGGCCAGGCTGACCCCCCCCCACCCACCCGGGGCCATGCCGAGCAGGACTTCCCCTGCGCTCTGGAGAAAAACTCTTCCCGCGGGCTTGGGGAGCATCTGTGGGCAGCCTTGGCTGCCTCTGAAAGGAATGAAGCTGTTGATTACGCTGGACGGGGTGATGTGCTGCTGCTTCTCCTTTCCTGGCTGCTGGGGAGATGGGCTGGCCGCCCAACGCCATCCTCCTCCTCGGGGAAGCGCCGGTGCCGAAGCAGCAGCCGCTCCTGTTAGTCCCTCTCTGAAGTTGCCGAGCTCCGCAGGCTCCGGTTACTGTTAGGTGAGAGCCCAGGCATCGTTCACTCGCCTTCCCGTACCGAGCCAGGCTTCATTTATTTTTTACCAGATAATACCCTTTGTGTTGCAAAGCGTCTGCAGCCCAGCTTGGCCTCTGCCTGCTCGCCGCGCTCCCCGGCGTGTGGCACCAGGTGCCGTGGCCAGGCCCAGTGCCCAGCACCGTGCCGTCTGCGGGCAGGCGCGGGGCGCTCGCCTTGCAGGAGAAAACCGAGAGATTTGGGTCAGCTCCCCGCTCTGCCTCAGGCTCCTGCTGCGGCCGGGGATGCTGCGGGCAGGTGAGAGCCCCGGGACAGCCGGGAGGAGCTCGGCCCCGAGGCAGAGCCGCTGCAGCCCTTCAAAGTGGAAAACGTGTTTATTTCTGGGATATCGGGTTTCCGGCAGGAAGGCCGGCAACTGCCAAGGTTTTTATTGGATCCCAGTGAAAGGAATTTTTAGAGTCCTGTGCTTGTTGTCTTTCCCTGTGCCTGCAGTGGTTAAGGAGCATTTTTACCTTTGAGTGGGAGCGAGGGGCACGGGGATTTGGCATCCGGCACCGGCACGTCGGTGGTGATGGAGTTTCAAACAGGTTGCCTTGTTGTCTCTGGGGCAGGAGGCATCAGGAGGGGTCGGGGCTGGGAAAGCGCAGAGAGGGACTTGGAAGTAGTTGAAAGAACCTGATCTCCGTTGGGCTCGAAGCATGTGGGAAGTGTTGCTTGAGCTCGTCCCTCGTAGCGGGGCTGGGGCCGGGTATTTCACATTTGTTACTACTTTGGACAAGGTTTTGACTGTTCTTGGAGGTAATTTTATAGGAGATTGAAATTCTGAAGACTACGTACAGTGGCTTGGTTGCTTCAATGTGTCGTGGAGACAGCTCCAGAGCTCTGATTGCCCTTGGGTGCTGCCAGCACTGACCAACATCCTCCAGAGCCTGAGCCCCGTGCTCAGCCCCGTTCCTGTCCAGGCACGGGGAGCTCTCGGCTCAATGCTGGCGCTTCCCAGGGCCCCCGTGAGCTGCTGCCCTGCGCGGGGGGGAGAGAGGGGCAGCGGCCGTGGTTTGGATCAGGGTCAGAGCTGCCCTCAGTAGGAACAGGGGTGCGAGCAGCTCCCTGGCTCTCCCTGCGGAGGAGAAACGGAACGGGCCGTTAAGGCAACGCAGAGCGACCGGGGGTGAGAGCAGCAGGGCCACCCCCCCCCCGAGCTGCGACCCCCGGGCTCTGCTCGAGGCCCCTCGGCCGCTCAGCACCGCAGCGTTGGGCCGTTCCCTCGGGGCCCAGGCGCTGAAATCTTCTGTCTTGCTTGTCCCTGCTCTCGTGTCTCGCTCCCCGCTCTTGCGCTGGGGGCACAGAGGCGAGCGGGGCTGCACGGTGGCTCCTGGGGCCCTCGCAAGCGCTGGAGTTCTTGGAGATGAGGGTTTCTTAATTTAGGGCTCGATCCAGCGGAAGAAGGGGGCTGAGCCCTGTGCCCTGCGGCGTTTCGGGATCGTGTCCCTGTTTGGCGCTGGGCTTGGTGCGCTGTGAGCGCCTGCGCTCTCCGTCAGCTGTCTCTTCTCCCTGTTGGTGGGGACACCTGGGGAGAGCAGCGGGCTCCAGCCTGCAGGCTCGTCCTCTCCAGAAGAAGGAGGGAAAAAGCGCTCTAGCTTTCTGCAGCGTTTAAAGTGGGAGGCACAGCTCGCTATGTCGGGTCTGGGGAGGGGTTTCATACCGTGCAGATGCTCGCAGGATCTCTGAGCGGATACTGGACACAAGCGGTTTCCTGTTGCTCTTCCAGCTTCAGCTGCAGAATCTGGGACCAGCATCCTGCACCGCTGAGCACTGGAGAGTAATTTCTGCAGTGGAAATTTTGCTCAGTGGAAAAAAAAAAAAAAAAAAAAAAAAATATATATATATATATGAAAAAGGGGGGGAGGTGTGGATACACTGTTGTGTGTTGGGTTTTTACTCACAAGATGATGCTGGTCTCCAGGATCTGGGGTCCTACGGCTGACCCCCCCGGGGCCAGGGGGTGGACGGTCTGTCGGGGGTGCAACTGGCCACGGAAGAGCCCTTGGGGCCACGGTCCTTGTCCCTGCCTGGCTGGAGGCAGCGAGCGCCGGGGCAGGGAAGAGCTGGAGAAATGAGGCAACCGCTGGTTAAGTGGCTAACGAGCTGTGCGGGAACTGGGCTGCTTACACTCCCAAACAAAAGTGCATCGTGTGGGAGCAGCTTGGGAGTGTGTGCTGATGAGTATCTCCTCTTTCCGACGCCCACTGCCACAGCAAGTCGTATTTATTTGGAGAAAGGAGTAAATTTCTTTTCCCCTCCAGGAACTATTGGTCCTGGAGAGAAACCACATTCCCAGAGTCGTCTCTTGTCGTCCTTCCATGACCCTCTTCCTCCATTCCCTGGCACCGGGTCCTGGAGACTTCATTGCTGCTTTTGATCCCTTTTGATTTGAAGCTGCAGTGAGCCGTGGCCTTAGAGGAGCCGAGCCCCGGGGGGGGGGGAGAGGGCTGGGGGCAATGCAGGAGGCAGAGGGGATGTGGGAGGGGGAAGCGGGAAGAAAAATATTGAACTTAGTGTGAAAACCAGTGAAGCAAACAGGGAAGGCAAGAAGGGAAGAGTGTTAATGGTGGAGCAGAGACCAGGAGGGGATGGAGCAGTGTGCCCATGATGTGAACTGCGTGTTTGGGGAGGGGGTTCCTCCACGGCGCGGGGTCCCAGCAGAGCCCCCCGCCTTTAGGAGGGCTGGGGGGGGGGGGGGGTTGGCCCACGCGTGTGCCACCACCCTGGGCAGAGAGCCTGGCGCTGGTCCCAGCCGGGATGCCACAGCGAAGCATCGCAGCGTGGCCTGCAGGGACCACGCAGAGCCCGGGCGGGGCTGCAGCAGCTCGCCCTCGGGGAGGATGCTCCGGTTCCACGGGGGCGGGAGCTCCGTGGGG